AGAACCAACAGATTGCTCTTACTTTTTTCTTCTTCTTTTTTTATTATCTTTTTCCTCTCTTTTTTTATTTTTTTAATAACTGTTAGAAAATCACAACAATTCTTTCTTTTGGTAGCCTTAGGACGTTTTCTTTTGGATTTAGAATAAGAAAAAAAAATTTCGAAATTGAATGACAAGGCAAACTTGGATTAAACATGACAACAACAAACGAGACACAATAGGATAGAAACTAATCGGACTTCTTTTTGTGTTTTTTTTTCAATTGAAATTGACTTAATTTGGACTAAAACGAAATTAACTGCAAAGACACGAAATAGAACAAAAAATAATGAAAAAGAACCTGATTTATATTGAGAAAACGAAGTTAACTACAAATCAAACCATTTCCCATTATATATATATATATATATATATATATATATATATAAAAGACTCAATTTATCAAGCAAAGGAACACAAGACTCAAACATGAAAAGATATGACAAAACAACAAGGAAGACGCAACAAAGAAAACAAGACAGATACAAAATAAAAGACATAAGGACTATGGATAACCAACGTGACTTTGCACAACTTAGGCTTTGATACCAACTAATGTGAACCCCACATATAAAGATGAGAGACCTAAACGCCTTTTTTTTTTGCTAGACAACCCCAAGAACATGCCTAATCAAGTTATAATAAGCGAAACCCAACTCGTTGCCTATAAGGAGGCAAGAACTAGAGCTATGATGTAATGGATTGAAGAATGCCACACCCAATAAAGGATGACAAGTTTAGAGATGCCATAAAGGTTGCAATCTTTGATAAGTCATATTTAGTTCTCAAAAGAACAAAGGAAGAAAATCCTCTTAAATTTATTAACTCTTAAAATTATTATGTAAGTCTAAATAGAGCTAAACCAACCTTTATATAGGCTAATACACCACTCCTAACCCTAAAAGTACTCTACTTTTCCTTGCACCCTAAGGAAATAAAAATTGACCCTAATGGTCTTAAAAACACATGCAAATAATAAGGCGTAAACATAGAGCCCAAATCTGACTTAATTAATTAGTTTTAATTATAATTAAGCTAGATATAATAAAATAGGCCCAATATGATTTAAGGAGTCTAATCTTAGACTTGGATCAGATTGACAAGTCTTGGATCCCCCTCTTCTCCTAAGATGGCACCATATTGCTCCCTTGGGCCTTAGAAGTGTATTCTACCCAACACTCTTGAATCAGCTCATGGTGAGCTTCTTTAACCTTCTTAGCTCTAGCCCACATGATTAGACTATCTTTAATGTGTGATGGATTAGATCTTTGACTGTATAAACTCATCATCTTAGACCTTCCTTGGAGACACCACCTTGCTGGTCCATTTAGCTCCATGGTTTCCATCACAATGGTTACCCTTAAAAGTGTTAGAAGACCAAATTGGCTAACCTAATCTATAATTAGGGTGAATTGCTCATTAAAAATCATACTATTATTACCTTTATCATGTAATAGAATAGGGTTCCTAAGATGTATTAATAAGACATCTATTAGGATGAGTATTGTTACAATAATATGAGTGATTATCAAATATAATCGTCTTAAACTCTATTATTCATAACATTAGTTTATTCAATTATGGCTCCCCTAGGGATGATAAGAGGAATCTAAATATTATGATTGGTTAATGTCCCCGATCGTTTAAGACCATTATTAGACCATTAACTATACAAGTTAACCAAATAGGTATATAATTTAGGATAACCCAAAGGTATTCTATAATCCCGATGTGATATTAATATGGTTTCCCTTATTTAGGTATGGTCCTTATACTTTTTATACCCATATCTTGACAATATAACTTCATCGTATCATCAATTGGATTACATATACCCTATAGTATTGTAATCAATATTATGATCTTATGGTTAACATAAAGATATGTTATAATAATCCTATAATTGGATACTCTAGTGACTATAATACCTAATACTATTTGATATGGGTATTCCTCCATCGGGTATTTATATTAGTTAATATTGTGATACTAGGTGAACATGGATATAGTTAGTCATTTTCTAAATGCATCAACTAAGGTTCTAATCAATAGTCTTATAAATTAACAATGATATCAAAAGGGCCAAACCCACCTATGATAGCCTTAATATCACCTATTCTCTATCACATATTGGTCTACCCTTTTTGAAGGATAAAAGAGGAATTAAATCCCCAATAATTAGATATCATAGATCTTAAATACCATATTAGGATAACTATCATAGGGTATCGATGAGATACTATGGTTATCGAATAGAATAGGTCTTACATCATAGTTATATAATGAAATATGATTCGTGGATATTAGCTTATTAGATAGTGAATACCTAGTGACTAAGTACAATAATTAAACCGATAGAAAATGACACTCATGTTATTGATATGAGTAGGCCCTATTAGGGTTATTGTTTATGGGCTACCCAATTCCCAATTGCTATAAGTTGTACAGCCCGTTTCTTATTCAGAAGAATCAAGGGATGTGATATATTATTATCCATAAGTATTAAAGCTACCATATCAGACCTAAGTAGGCCCTATACCTCTGAATAAGTTTGACAACTCTAATATCCCCCTCACATTAGTCCCTAGTATAATTGTAATCCACTTATAGAAATAATTATGGGCAAATTTATTGATTAAGATAAATATAGATGTTATCTACAAAAAGATATTTATGTTGAACCTAGTTGCTTATAGTTTAAATTAGTACAAATTTAAACTATTGGTTAAATTCCATGTAGGAACAATAAGGATAGCCTTAATACTAACTATAGTTAGTAACAATTAGTTCCATCAATTAAAGAGGAAATTCATATTCTAGTAATGAATATATTAACCTAGCTAATTAGTCTTATCATAAACTAATTATCAACTATTGGGCATTCTAGTCCTACTATTAAAAATTAATTGGATAGACCATGATAGTCTATCCAATTTAGGTACATCAAATTTGTAGCCATCGGATATTAAGAGGGTTGATAAGGATTACCTTCAAACATACCTAAGTCTATTACAAAGTGTAATATCCAAGGTAATTGGTGAATCTATCCATAATATTAGAGCACTAATTTATAGCATATTAATACATCTACTAATTGATAACTGATAGCTTAGTTAGATATTATCATACATAAGTGATGATAGAGTTAATCTGTATAATATGTCATCCCTAACTCATTTACCTCTACTTATAGGCCTCAAGATTAATTATCATGGGTACCTATAATGGTTACCTATGGTACCTTATCATAAGCTAATAATATAGGTCGGAGTTAATTAATAGATAAGCCTATTTAATTATATATATAGTATATATAGCTATATTGAGTAAATTATTATACCTCCCATTATCGGACCTAGTTTGATAATATCTATCAATCATGTATAGCGCCATTTGATAAAGCTAATGGCCTTAATTATCATATCATACCTAAAGATAGGATACATATCATATCATAGTGTAATAAGGGTATTAAGGATAAATTGGAAAATATGGCCTATTTATGTGCATTATCCTTATTATTAATATGGAACTAGGTAGAAATGATGACCATAGCATATAGAATCCTAGTTGATAGATAAAGAGTCCTTAGGAAGACTATTAAACATTATTATAATGGACATATCAGTTGGAATAAAGTACGGCCTACTCTTTAAAGAGTATCACTTATACTACCATTATGCACTCATCCCACTATAAATGTATTGTTATGACCTTAAGGTTCTATTATATCATACCTAAATATGGGTATAACAAATTAGCTCGTCATTATGGTTGATTAAAGGAAACTTAAGATAATATCAAGAGTTTATAGTTATTGATATGGTATATATTCACTTATTTACCCCGATTTGGCAATCATGAGCTAATTTGTTATCATAAGTTAACCAGTATTTAAATTTTTATCATATCCCTTATAATATTCCTAGATGCCATGCAATTAATTTTAGTAAGGGCCCTAGTCCTCTACTTTATCAATTATCTCTCATTTATCCCTACTATATTAAATAGGATACCAACTCACTAATTAATAGGTCATATCCTATTGGTATAGTGATTGTTTATAGGAACAAACATAGTTGGTCATCACTTTGATTACCTTAATTATGGGGTCAATGATAATTATGAGGTATTTCAAGTATAAAGTTAACCAATAACCCTTTGCATCCAAGTTAGTATCATGAATATGGGTCCTAGTGATGTTCATTAAGATTAGGCATGTTCATCTTGGGTTATAGCCTTTTATCTACTCTTCCACTTGGGATAGCTAAATGAATAGGCAATCATATATGGGGACCTTTAATTAGATGTCATAGGGATAAAAGGCTATAACCCAGGGTTATAATAAACATCCTACCATTATAATACTATGAATTGCCTTATCATTTAGCTATCCCAAGTGGAAGAACGAGATAAAATTGGACATATCTAGATGTTATCATTGTACCCATTAAACTTCTGATAAGTGGATTCAATATAACAATCCCTAGAGGAGCCATTATTCCATACATATCAAAAGTATTGTAATCATATTCTAATTATATTCTTTTAACTAATATTGGATATAAAGCCATTAGTATAGGTTGATGATTGAATGCTAATAAACAATAAAAGGGAGATAGAGAGAGTGACTAATTCTAGTCTATATTTTTACGTGAAGGGCATCACTTATCAAGAGTGATTACTGTTGATAATTTACTCATTAGCATTGACAACATATTTTAGTGATGTTATCCTACATACGTTGGATTCCAAATTCAATAATTAAGTGATCGGACCAAAATGACCATGTATTAAGATCCCTTAATAGATATTATCTTTGAGGGGATCATAGTGGAGAGTAAGAGGGAGAGGGAAAGATAGAGGAGAGTAGGTTGAGAAACTTGGAAAACATATTATAATGGTATTACTCACATTATAATATTAAGTCAATAGTGTAAGTAACTTATTTACATATACACAACATCCCTTTGATAATATGTATAACGAGGCAATCCTTGTTTAATGATATAGAGGGTTAGTTGTTCATCCGGAGGATAGGGCTATAAAAATGGTATGGACTAAGTAATAGGGATATATTGGGGTAAAACCTCTAGTTAATATACCCCGTTTACACCCATAAATCTCAATAGAAGTATATGCAGAATTATTTTTTACCCTATTTCAATATATTCTAGAGGGAGGAATAATTTTAGGGCCACTCTCTATTTAGTTCACATATACTTCTATTTTAGACTCGACCATATCATAAACCTTTTATCGATCACCGATATATTATCATCATTTGATCTTCGGGGAGACACCTAGGTAGCTTAAATTAATAGAGGACCCACAAACAAAAAGGAAGAAATCCTACCTAGCTCGATTGCTAGAGAACCCATGAACAAGAATGAAGAAATCCCGAAAAGACAAATCAGATTAGAAGGAATGGACATCACACTCCAAAAAGGGTAGAAAGGGAGTGATAAGTCACTCAAACACCACAAGAATCAAATTAGACTCTTGATAAATTTTAAAATTCATTTCTAGAAAAAACTAAGGTGCGAATTTTCTCACAAAGGTTGATTTGATCCAAAGATTGATTAAACCAAAAAATACATGATTCTTTTTATATAAATAAGCTACTAGGAATTCTGAAAGACAAAGTTGAATTAAATTACATAAGATCTAACAATCAAAAATTTTGGATCCAACAAAGCTTTGAAAAGTCTTCTTGAAATTGGAAGGAAACTCCTTGAATTCAACATCTAGAATTTCGACCCCAAAGCTTCATTTTGTTGACTTGAAAATAATAGTGACTTCAGCTTGGAAATGGGCTGATTCTATAGTTGCCACTTAACAATCTCGACCTAACACATCAAGATAAGAAAGTTCGGCTAGATTGGACTTTTAAGTTTGAAACTTTTGGCCCAATAGCATGGATCAGATTCACAAGGCCCAATTGATGTTCTTCAAGCCTAGTGATGGAGAAATCAACCTATTGATGATGAATAAGCCCATTTGAGGACTCATCAAACTTCTTGGGCCTAGCCTTGTGATTGAGCCCAAACTGAAACAACCTATCTCCTTGTTGATGATAACATTGAGGTTTGAGCAACCTATGTTCGTATCATTCCCCCATTCTTCAAAACGATTCATCCTCGAATCTTACCTTGTGGGTAACAAATGACAATATCGGTTATAGAAAAATTAAAGTAACCATCATTAGGTAGCTAACTTCCCAATTAACATATTCAAATATTTGTAACTAATGTCATCAAAGCTAAGCTTTAATGAACTAGACCTACTATTCGAATTATCAAGACCAAGAAAATCAATTGTAAAATCATCACTCTCGTCCGACACTTTAATGGCAATAGCATCACACTTGATTATTCCTTCATTGATAGCCTCATTAATGCCCTCATCTTTTACTTCAAAAGCCTTAGAAAGTGCAGCAACATTGTGACTTTGTTGTCAAAAATTTCGATGTCTATAGCATTATCAAGACAACGGCTTTGTCAACACTTTTGATGAACATCGAGTGTTTTTGACACCTATAAATACAACCTTATGAACCTCTTTGTTGGCAACAACAACATCAAAATTTTTAGATTTTGATTCGTCATCATGTCGTTTGAACTTTTTAAAAGAAGTTTTAACCACATCAACCTCTATGTTGATACTATGTTCTTTGGAATTTGCAACTTCAATTGCCTTACTCGTGTTGCTAGAGTGCCTCTTTTTTTAAAAGTTTAATCATTCATCCGATTTCAATTTGGAGAGCCTTAAATGGATCCTTTGGCATTAGTCATTCCATATCTCGTATTTCTAGTCACCACAAATCATGTTGAATTTGCTTTTTGAAATATGATAATGAAGACATGATTTTTTTTAATACCCAAAGAAGTATGGATTCGGATAGTTTAAACAAAAAAATACAAATTGAAATTTCGGACGAACAACGAGTTTCAAATAGGATTGAATTTAAATAATGATGAGTTCAATCTTTAAAACTAGATTTTTTGGATGATTGATCGCAAGATAACCGAACAAAAGATTCTATGACTAATTTTTTGACAGATTTGGTCCTAATGAGCTGAATTATACATAATAATTTGGACTTTAAGAATGCACACTAAATTGATTCCTTCTTTTCTTTTTTGTTCTTTTTTTTTAATAATGGTGGATTACTAATTTTGGCAACAAATGAAAATTTTCAGAATTAGGATAACAAATTAGAGGATTTAGACTTAAAGAAAAAAAAACAAGATTGAATTGAAATAACAAGAAGTGTCAAGCAATTCGAACAAATATGGATAAACCATGATTAGAACATACAATTCTTATATATATATAGTTGCACCGACCTAAAATTGGACTAAACAAAACTATAAGGAATTGAATTTAATCAAAAAAGAAAAAAAAACTAATTGGAAATAGAGCTCGCTACCAATTAATGTGAACCCATCTAGCTTAATGGCTAGAGAACCCACAAACAAGAAGGATGAAATCTTGAAAAGCCAAATCAAATTGGAAGGATATGGATGCCACACTCCAGAAAGGGTATAAAGGGAGTGATAAGTCACTTGAATGCCACAAGAATCAAATTAGACTCTTTGATAAGTTCTGAAATTCAATTCTAGAAAGAACTAAGGTTTGAATTTTCTCACAAAGGTTGATTTGATTCAAAGATTGATTTTAAAATGAAATTACATATTGTTTTTACATAAATAGGCTATTGGAAATTCAGAAAGAAAAATTCGAACTAAATTACATAAGATATAACAATAAAAAAAATTTGGATCCAATAAAGCTTCGAAAAGTCTTTTTGAAATTGGAAGCAAACCTTGAATTCAACATCTAGAACTTCGGGTCTAAAGCTTGGTTTTGTTGACTTGAAAATAATGGTGACTTTGGCTTGGAAGTGGGCTGATTCTATAGTTGCTACTTAACAATCTCGGACCAAAACATCAAGATAAGAAAGTTCAACCAGATTGGACTTTAAGTCTAAATATTTTGGCCTAATAGCATGGATGAAATTCATAAGGCCCAATTGATTTTCTTTAAGCCTAGTGATGGAGCAATTAGCCCATTAATGTTGAATTAGCCCATTTAAAAACTCATCAAACTTCTTAGCCCTAGCCCATATGATTAGGCTCAAAAAGAAACAGCCCATCTCCTTGTTGATGATAACATTGAGGTTTGAGTAGCCTATATTCGTATCACTATATACAAATAAGAAGACATATAGTATTTGGTAAAGATACCTAGTTAAAATATTTTGGAGGGTAATATTAGAATTTGGCCCTCTCTCTCTCAAGCGTTTAAGTAGCCCATGTCTTTACTAAGGTGAGTCAAATGACCAAGGAGGAGAGATGGAGAAGGGGAGATTGAGAGACGAGAGAGAGGGAGAGGGAGTGAAAGGGGAGAGAGAGTAGGAGAAGGGACCGGTAATTGATTGGAGAGGGGTTTATTCTGAATAGTTCATAAAGGGAGAGGTACGTTCTCCTTGTATAAGTAATTTAATCCTATTTCAATTTGGCATATACCCATTTAGATATGCAGATCCCAAATTACATTAAGGCCCTAGGCTGGTCATACTCTCTCCCTCCTATCAATTATAAGGCATTATTCTCTCTCATAATTTACCAACTTATTTGCCTAGCCTTAGGATTTCTCAAAAATTAATATCTTTGAGAGAGTATGAATATACTACTCCATTTGAGTAAAATAAAGGACTCCATTTATTGTAATACCCTCATTCTAATTCTGCCTCTCTCTTATAATTAACTAATAAGTGTTAAGTCATCACTCTCTTGTATATTATCAACAGTTATCATCAATATGAGTTAATCATTAAGGATCTGGAATTGGAATGGAGATTGTTCTCTTTGAGGATATTAACCTCTCCCTATGGTAACACAAACTAGGAACGTGCTTAATAATCTTCGTCACTATCCATTATCACCTCTTGTCCATAAAAAGTCATCTTTAAAAATAATCATTATTCTTAAAAATGAAACACTTATTCAAAATAAGAAATGAAAATAAGACCTTTAGTCTCTACTAAAATAATAATGGTTGAGTCTTAGCACATTCATCTATGGTAGTGCTAGCTCATAAATACCTATATTTAATGATCCAACTCTTGATCCATTGTAGTCATGTAGATATTTTTCCTTGAAGCTATCTTCTTGGTGAAGTTGAGTCATTAGTATCGCTATGTGAGGACTGAATTTTCAAGTGTATACCAATAGATATTTTCAGCTTGATTATTTTAATTATTTTTAATCTATCTAGCTTAGACCTAGTTACAACTATTATAACATCATGGAACCATATTGATTATAATTGATATATTAAATTGTCATAATATTTCTTATTCATTTATTAATAAATTGCATGTTTGAATACAAGTGAATAAATATGATCTTGGATAATATTAAATTACTATAATATTATTCAAATATAATAAGATATTAAATAAATTTATCATAACTATTAACCAATATATGAATATTATATTCTAAAAATATTATGAATATTATTGATAATCATAATGCAATTATAAATGATATCATTAAATGTCTTGATTTTCCCCTAACATAGAGAGAAATTATAATCATTATAATTGTGACAAATTTGTTGGTAGAACATGCTAATGAACTAGTCCAAAATGAGATAAGTAATTTAATATTATGTATAGGTCTATATATGCTATTAACCACTCTATTAATAATAACCGAGTTGATAATATTTTCTATTAACTATGATCAAACTCGGTTTTAAGGAAGACATAGTCGGCCCCTCCCTCCCTAATATATATCCCTTTTGGACTTTAGACGAACTCCATAAAAAAAAAAAAAAGCCATTTGCCTCTTAATTCTCCGAATTGTACCCTTAGGCACAAGAAAAGCTGCTAACAAAAGCAAAATAGAAGAAATGACCAATTACTCATCTGCTATTCATATTTTATGCTAAAGACTAATAACATGGATTAATGACGGATGGCTATTTGAATACCAAGTAATTCTTATTGGCCTAATCTTAAGAATAACTTTTTCTCTCCCCTTTGAAAATAGTTTATTATCAATGGAGAGAGAGACCAAAGGAGAAAAAGTATCTATAATATTTTAGGGCATAATATTTCTTATTTTAGGAGAGAGGGATTTTACCCATCTCCTTATAAGGGAAGTCTCATCATAACAACTTCAGCTAGAAGCTTGAGGTGCACATTGGGGTCCCTAACTCCAAATTTAGAAAATCTCCCTCTACTAAAAACTTAGGGGGAGATTTAAGTGGGAGAGTTAGATTATTATCTATAGATTCTATGGGTGAAATCTAGCCAATGCCAAATGAGAGAGTGGGAGATAGATAGACCCATATGGAAACAACAACATATCCATGTTATCTTCCAATTGGGGAAACCCGGAGATTTTTACTTGTTCCTATAACTCACTCGCGATATGTTGCCAAAGGAGTAAAAGGTATAACTCCCTCAATATTCAAATAATAATAATATATTGAGGTTGTTGATCAATTGATACTACTTTACCCTTTTCTCTCCTACTCGAATCCTTTGCGAGTTAGGTTGTTAGCGAGGTAAACAAGTACCCATCTCGTATGAGATTTCCATAGACTAAAACCAAATGGGTTCTCATGGCAAGTCAAGTCCGGTGATATGTTCTCTAACATAAATCACTTAAGTGCTTGCTTTGGCATCATCATGCCAATAGGTGTGAGCTCTCCTACTGCTATCATATAATATGAGCACGGTACTCATAAGTCTATCCGTATATATTCAATGTCTCCCTTTCGCTATGCGGACCAACGGTGTTTATTCGGAATTGAAAGTTAATGATAGGAGTACACTAATATGGAATAATTTTATGATGTTAGCATTTACTCATACCATATTAGATATATAATTCCATCTCTCCCTCTCTCTCCCTCCCTCCTCCCTCCTACAATAAGGATATGTTAAACCCTAATTAGCTAACGAATTATGATAAAGTTATTCTCACCAAAATAGGGAGGGGAAATGCTAGTGATATAGTTGATTTTATATGGATAAGATCATATTTATGGACTATACTAAATTGGTATTAAGTTAAAACATGACAATATAACCTATTATGGTATTATCGACCAATCTTGGCTTTTCTCTCTATCTCCCTCCCCATACCTTCTCACTAATGGCAAAGTCGAATTAATATACTCATGGTGTGGTCCATGATGAGAAGGAAAAGATCGTTGACAAAATACTCGAATATAGTTAATTATGCCTCTCTCTAATATAAGCCCTTTCTTTAATTATACAAAAGGTATCCAAAATGTTATAAAGCCTTACCGAGTGTCTATCAAATGATCAATTTAGGGAATGGCTTGGATCACTCTCAAATATAATAAATGGACTCGTATAAGATAGATTGTTCAAAAACTAGATAATATCATTCAATAAGGCTATTAAAACCGTTATATCTATATTTTAGTATAATATTATCCCTATATTAAGAGACCCCTCTTGATGTTTGTGATCCCTCCATGATAGAGAAAGGCAATTTTACATGACATATGATCAAATAATATTATCCCTATTTATATATATAGATAATATTCTAGCAAGTCATGTTCTACTATGTTTTTTAATTTTTGGCAATGATAGTCTCTTACCACCCTCCCTCTCCCTTACCATTTAATGAAATGGTGTAGGTTTTACCAAACTATACACGATCAATCTTTTAGTGTTATCACTTCAGTATTATTTCCTTTAACTTATCACCTAAAAAAAATTATTGATATTATTTTCCTCACTTTTTGTTAATGTTAGATTATAGAATAATATTGATTGCACATTTTGTCTTCCCCAAACCCAAATTTGAATAAGTATTTGTGTAAGGCTTATGATTTGGTCGAGCTCGTCAACATACCTTCTAATGGTTTGACATGGTATAGAGAATCTTATAAGGTTAGCCAAATATGTTGGATTAAAGGTATATAGTTATGCCTACAACTCTAAATACAATAATTATTTTGCGGTAGAAAACAATAATTCAGGATTACTAAATGGTGAGGATAGTAAATCAATGTAGAACCCTATCGAACTTAGCTTCCTCTCTCCCCTCTCTCTCCCTCGCTCTCTATCTTCCTCTCTCTCCCACTTAATAAATCCTAGTCTATAGCTCAATGGGTAATAGTGGGAGGATAATATACAAGGAGATTAATGACCATCAATGATCAAATGGTGCATGTTTAAGGTGTAACCTGTTATAGATAAGTTATTCCTCACCTCTATTAACTTCACTTTTAGGATATAGTTTTCTCCCATATATATTATGATATATATCCCATCTTATAGTCACCCTCCAAACCAATAATTTACATATAAAATTATCCATTAACAAACTATTATCCATCATTGATTATCCGCCTATCTAAATAGGAGAAAACTTATAGATATATAGATAGTGTGGACCAATATTAGACTATAGAAGGACTGTATTAAGGAATAGAATCCTTTACATAAAAATATTTAAGTTTAATGGGTTATTGAGAAATGGTGATGGTATCTTGAGTGATTCAGAGGAGGCTTCTAATCAATAGACATCTATCTCATACTAATAATACTAGAATACTCTCTATCTCTATTTGTACTTCTAAATCAATAAAACCCTAGCCCATATCATTGGATCATCTTTAATGTATAATGGATCAGACCTTGGACTTGTAAACTCGCCATCTTGGACCTCTCTTAGAGACACCACCTTGCTAGCCCATTTGGCTCTTTGGTTTTCATTAATACAACCTTGTCTTTATTCTCCCTCATATGTTTCACATAAATTGATGCCACTCAATGCTCGTTTTTCTCTCTTTTAGGCTTTTTCTTTAATATGTTCACACTCTCTAGCCTTTTTCCTTTGGTTCTAAAATAATCAAACCACACAAGAACTGACGAATTGTAAGTGAATCAACAACTTCACTTTCCAAGGATTGAATTTCGGATGGATTTGGAACAAGGAATTGACAAAACAATTCAAATATGAATTTTAAGTTTTTGAAGACTAAGAATGATACTAGAACTAACTTGAATTGAATTTAAACAAGATAGTAACAAATGAGACACAACGAGGCAAAACAAATCAGACTTCTTTTTACTTTTTTTTTTTTTTTTCTGAATTGGAACTGACTCAATCTGGAATAAAACTACAAAGAAACAAAATAGAACAAAAGATAATGAAAAAAAAACCTAATTTATATTGAAAAATGAAGTTAACTACAAATCATACTTTTTCCCTTTTTTTTGTCTCTCTATTTTTTAAATATATATAAGACTCAATTTATCAAGCAAAGGAACATGAGACTCAAACAAGAAAAGATATGGTAGAATAACAAGGAAGACACAACAAAGAAAACAAGACAAATACAAAATAAAAGACATAAGGACTATGGATAACCAACCTGACTTTGAACAACCTAGGCTCGATACCAACTAATGTGAAAACCACATATAAAGACGAGATATCCAAACACCTTTGTTGCGAGACGATCCCAAGAACGTGCCCAATCAAATAGAATTGACCCATTGCTTATAAGGAGGCAAGAACCCAAGCTGTATTACAATGGGATGAAGAACGCCACACCCTATGGAGGATGATAAGTTTAGAGATGCCATAAGGGTTGTAATCCTTAATAAGTCAGATTTAGTTCTTCAAAGAATAAAGGAAGAAAATCCTCTCAAATTTCTTAACTCTCAAAATTATTGTCTTAAAACAAACCTAAACCAGCTTTTAAATAGGCTAAACATGCCACTCCTAACCCTAAAAGGACTCTACACATCCTTACCACCTAAGGAGAATAGAAACAAACTCTAATGGACTTAAAAGCATACGCATATACTAGGGCTTAAAACATAGAGCCCAAATCTGACTTAATTAATTAGTCTAATCATAATTAAGCTAGATATAACAAAATAAGTCCAATATGATTTAAGGAGTCCAATCTTGGACTTGGATAAGATTGACAAGTCTTTGATTCCCGTCCTCTCTTAAGATAGTGCCATGTTGCTCCTTTGGGCCTTTAGAAGTGCATTCTGCCTAATACTCTTGAATCAGCCCATGGAGAGCTTCTTTAAGCTTCCTAACCCTAGCAAACATCGTTGGACCATCTTTAACGTGCAATGGATCAGATCTTGACCTCCTTGGAGACACCGCCTTGCTGGCCCATTTACCTCCTTGGTTTTCATCAATATAGCCTTGTCTTTATTCTCATCAGTTTAGAAAAGATTGTAAAAAGACATCTCCAATTATGCCATCTATCAATACTTTATTACAATGCGTTTTTATCTTTTATATAAGAATGAGTGTCAATTATATTTTATCCATTTACAATGTCTTCCTATCCTAATTTATCCAATAATAGACCATTTTAGATATACTTAAGGAGAAATTATATCGGTTATTGGGCTGATATTGGCACTATCACTCACCACTTATATTGGCCCATATTGAAATCCATATATTTATATGCTAATGGAATAAACTATCACTTGTTTACTACTTAGACACCTTGGGTCTAATCTCATGTCAATGAGGACTTTTAGTGTAAGCGGAATTCAGTCTATAAAAGGTATAATCATATATTGGGCTACATTATCAATAGTAACACTCCCTTAGAATTTAATAGGTCTATCATGATTATCAATACACCCTAATACTATAAATCCATAAAGGAATTTAATAGGTCAACTAATAGTGTAGGTTGACTAATTGGTAATATAAGATCCTTGTTGCCAATATAATACCGAGTTCATTATCCAAACAATAAATTACCCATGTATAATATTGATTATACCATTAAGCATAACTTAGGGAGTTTATGATAAGCTATAGAGGAATACATTAGAGAGTATGTATAATTGATTATTAGTCACCTCATAATATCTCTATAGTAACGGTATACGGCCAAACTTCCATTAGATATATAGAGGTGAATTATATAGCCTCATAATAATAAAAAAATTACTTACAATAGTAACTATACAATTTTTCACTAAATTACCATATACCTAGAGGCCTATAATATAATAAATCATTTGAGTGATAAATTTGATTATAAGGAAAAACGGATATAGTACTTATTAGGAGAAAGTATATAATTTATATACCTTATTAGGCCATACTAGGCTAGTTATAATAACCTATACAAGTAATAGTACCCCTCCACATTATAATTTATTGATTATCACTAATGACACATTAATGCTAATTAGGGAAGTATATTTCACTAATTTAACAATAACCTCTAGGTAATGATATAGGTATATATGCTAATGGATTGGAGGGGTACTCTTTATCATAATATAACCTACAGTATATAGAATATTCCCCACATGTACAATAAATATATTCCTCAAAATAGATGACCAATATTTACAAATTGATAGAGTTATTATGACTTAAAATATCTTTGATTTTATACAAGTTGTCTATAGGCTATCTTTTACCCCTACTATAGTTGAATAGTTAAGGTTATAATCGTCCATTTATATATAAGCCAATTGCCATCATTTTGGAGATTTTAATACTATAATCTTGACCTATTAAAAATAGGTATTATGCTTAACTACTAGTGTCATCCAAATATTACTATAATTCTAGGAGGCCATAGTATATGGTCTACTATCTTAGGCCTTCCCCATAGTTAAGTCTTTTTACCCAATAGTATCCTCTCATATAGTACACCTTTCTTACACATTTCACCTTTGTTATCTCTCTTTTAGTCCCATTTATATCCATATATATAGGTCGAGTGGATAAATAGATTAAATGTCTAAGAATATACTATAGAGAGGTGTAATTACCCCTTATTGATTTGAAAATATTGGGCCATCTCTACCCTATAGCTCAATTATAATCATTGTATCAATAACTTATCATTTAATAGGCTACATGATTGGGGATAATTATAGGTCCACTAATATTTATATTTGGAGATAGTCTAATATAACTACCCCTTAGGGTCCCTATATGAAATGATGGAAACTATATTATTATTCGAGACCTATAGTTAATACTTAATATTGGGCATAATCTTATTAATATTATACCTATAGGGCAAATATTAAAGAGGGACCGATAGACAATAATCTCCTTTAATGTTATTAATACGAGGAGTACTTATCCTTTCTAGAATATCAATAAGGAGATATATCATCATATAATAACATTCAAAATATTGGTAGCTTATATGTTAAGAGGGAGAAGGATCATTATATTAGCTGAATTTTTAGAGAATATCCACATATCATA